GGGAGGCCGCCATGCTGATTGAAGTCAGTCCCTTCATCATGAGATAGGGTGTAGCCCCTTAGTCAATTCTCTATAAAGGGATACGTTAAATCTGAGAAGCAGCGGCAAAGAAGGAAAAAAAGGAAAAGAATTGTACTATTATACAGTACGTGTCATGTCATGATACACCATGTGGGAAAACTGTGGCGTTTCAGACATCACATATGGATTTATCGGAAAGTGTAACAATTAATCTTAATTTGCACACAGGCGAAAAATGATATATAGATACCGCATCTAAGGCACCCTTATAGCCCTCCGTTAACCATGTTTTTCTCGGATAAAAGAGGATATTTAAAAATTCTCCGTTTTTTTCTGCTTCCGGTGTTGTGTTTTTTCTGATTAGTTAATTCTCGTCTTTTGTTGATCGTGAACTGCTTCAAGCATTTCTTGAAACTATTTTTTCGCCCTATAACAGTAAACACAAGTGTAGTTATCCTTCGTTAATAATGCGGAACGGGAGGCCTCCTTGCGCGAAGAAAAAAAAAAGAATTGGAACAAATTAAGTATAACATATATCATGTGGTGTCATTGGACTGTATAGAAGGCGTATATTATGGGATTTAATTTCGTTCGGAAGAGTGCCTCCTCCTTGAAAGCATATGGGCGCTCCATTATGTATAAACGCATCTCATGCACTATCGAGATATGATGAATTTTGAAAAAGTACCCTGTTGACATGAAACTTCGAATTATGTCAACCCCACGAAATATACTCCTTCCTTCTATATGATATGGTATGTGACATCACAATTAAGAATGATGTACAAGATAGATTCATACTCAGATACAATTTTCTGGGGATTATTTTATGCAGCTCAAGCTAAGGAGAAGTCACTGCGTAACTTTTATATTTCGAGCGACATAACAACAGGATGCTAAACGAAAGCGCAGAATCAATGAAGTGTAAAAACCTGTTATGTTGCGGAGAAAAAATGTTTCCCCCATTTGAGCCTTTTTTGAAATTTTCACAGAGCATCACGTAACGAAGCATGCGACAAAACATAGAAAACAGAAACGCTTTACAGTGTGCCATATTTTCCTGACTACTATGTATATTTTACGATTACTCTATGTACAACTAATACTAAAGTTCATCGAAAGAAATGGATCACAAGAAAAGAATCCGTACAAATATATTCTCTACGGAATACTGAGTAATATGAAACAGTCCGCCAAGGTACTGTCCGCATCCTGTGAAAAAGTCATTTCTTATTATTCTTCACTTGTTCATTACGTAACTGAATCTATTTTTGTGGACATTTTGAAGGACGAAAAAAGGAGTGATGAGTTGTATTATAGAATTGCCACCCTGCAGGGGCGGCGGTAACATTATGTGGTTTATGGTGTAAATAGTAATATGTAATCTGTATTATATTTGAATGTTCAGCTGACAGTTTATATTCTTTTGATGCGCAAAGCAATTAGTTGGATGATCAATGGTCCTTAGTACACCAGTTGTCGTGTTCTATAACGTATAAGGTGTAGCATAATAGGAAATGTACATTTACGCAGAATTCAATTTTAGCATAGTGAATGTGGATAGAATATGTACCCTCGACAATTTTGAACAGCATAGGGACTTGCAATTACATGAGGATAATGTAACAAGAATTAGGGGTGGAGACAATTCCTTTTCATAATATAAAACGGGTGAACATTTTCCTCTGTCATCCCATGTATGTATACCCCACAATCTGTACAAATAGAAGGCTGCATTCTTTCCTTTTTTTTTTTTTTTCTATCCCTTCCTCTTTACACTGAGATGTGTTTCTGACCTAGTTTGCAAGAAGGAACTGCACGGACAAATATTGACAAGAATAGATGTGGTTATACGGGGCGACTGCCAGTAGCCGTATTACAACTCAGAGCAATAGGGTGGACAAGGACAAAGAGACCATTACTAATTATTTATGGGAAATGTGGAGGTGGCTGTTAACATCAGATAATTCTATCCCCAGGCAGGGGTGATGGATAAAATGTGTTTTAAACAGCTGGACGGTACAAGTGTGTTCGCGTCACCACACGAATTGCATGGCTTCATTGGTAAAGGATACCTAAATCCGCCGTTGAGACATTAAATATTATGCTCTTTACATAAAACTTCGCGAACAGTACTTCTTGCCTCATCAAGGAGTACATGAAGGTTGTTGCCGCATATGAACAGAATGAATTCGGAAATGAGGAAAGCGTCGACGTGCAAATATCCATTTATTTTAATAAGAAGGTTTTAGAAAATACACAGCACCAATATGCGCTGCGACACTCATATCACTTGTGTTTGTTCATGTAGTACATAAGTAATGCGTATTAATAATAATTTCTGTGTGAAGATCACATTAATAATAAATGTTTTCCGCGTTATACAAACTTCTTCCGTAGCGACTTATAGTAATGAAAGGATTTTTAATTATTTATAGGAATCTGAGGGAAGCGAGTTTTAATATGGCATGCATTGTCTATACGTCTATCTAATTTTAAGACACTGACACGAATTTAAATATACAACGAAGATGAGCACTTCATATAATCCATTATGGATAGGACTACACTGGACGGAATAGAAAAAAGAAGAAAGTGGGGGAAAATATGAAAATATGAAGACATCAATTCCATGGGAGCTGTAGCATTCGTGTAAAATTACATATTTGAAATATGTTCCCTCTTCGTATTCATGATGAAAATCGTTTCTGTCTGTTGACGTTTATGTATGGTCGCATTTTATGCATGGAGAAAGGAAAGAGCAAATAGAAGGAAATGCAGGTACTGCGGTGAGTGATAGGCAAACAAGAATTCTGTGGCATCTGTCCCTTGCAGACGCGTTCTCCTCGAAGCGTGCATGTGCGTTCTATCTAACACTAAGGGAACATTCTACTATGAGTAAGATCTTATGTTTATTGAGAAGCATTACTTTTTTCGCGATCATCTTCCTGTTTAGTGCAACCTTTATAGTAAACCTGAAAAGTTAGTAAGAATGGAGGGGCATATTTATATGACTGCACACATTAGTAATTTTTCCTTGACCCTTACAATGGTACATATACATATATATATCCTTGTGTTGTCATATTATCTTGATAAGTGCCTTAACGCTAATGTATCTCTTCTAAGTAGTTCCCATAACGCAGACGTCACATATTCGTGTAGTGGAATGGGTATTGTACATTATAATAACCCACATATTAGAATATAGTGCTCATTTCGTACACTTCCTGAATTTTACGGGAGGGTTTATTCCGGAATACTTTGCATAATTCCCTTGCCTTTTTTCTCTCTTTTTTTTACTTTCTGATACATTCTGCTATGCTTAAGACGTCGTTTATTGATATATACTCATTGCAGCATGAGATTATGCAGGCAAACTAGAAGTGGAGGTGACACAAAATGCTCTTTCAGGATACAAAATTGGCTACAATTAAACAGAAGCTGTGAAAGATATTTCTGCTAAGTATTCAATTAATAATTAACTCAAGAAGTTTATAGTTATCTATTCTGATAACACGGCGCTCATTCATGTGAATCTGGTATTCTCTTAAAGCATATACGCTTCCGGATCCTGGGTTCTAAGATCCACAGAGCACCTTATCATAGTTTTAATGGAACTGTTAAATGTATCACTACATCAGTTTAATATTAGATAAGGAAGGAATCCATTTTGAATAAAGAGATTCGCTAAATAGGAGGAATTATACGGGTGAATAGTAAGAATTAAGCATTCTTCCCTGTACCATAAAATGTGCGGAGGACAAGATATTGCAATAATTATATTTAAGAGTTCCTCTTGTCCGGTTACAGGAGCCGTCGACTATTAGGAATGTGCTAAGACGGTTTGATTAAATTGGTCGAGACGATTACTTATTATGGGCAAAATTTAACAGGGGAGGGAACAGAAAAATACGAGTATTACTTGCGTATGTAAAGCAGAAGAGCATAGAGCGCAATCAAAGTATGTCAATCAGGAGCAAACGAGAATCGATACGGAATGACGAAAATCATGATGCATGAATTTATTGTGATTATCCCCCGATAAATATAATAACCCAGGGAGCAAAACTAGTGAAGGAGTCCTGAGGGTGGTTATAATATATTACAAGGAATACATCATAGAGATTAGGAGAAAATTCAAGTATAGACTCATGAAAGAAAACTAAAAATAACGAATATGTGTGAGTATAACCGACTTCTCCATTCTGCATATCATGAAATATAATAAACTAAGGAAGAAACATACAACATACTTCATTTCGAAAGGTTCTGCCAAATTACCTTGTGAGTCTCAACTGAGAATACATCAGTTTTAAGAAGCATAACAGCCCTGTTCGCTGAAGAAATACACATAAGGTACATGCCTCTATACATTGATACCATCTATTGATAACAATCTATGTCTTGTTGACCTCTTTACACCTGACCATGGAACATATACCCATGGATATACATACAAATATGTATATTTTTTCCCTTCTATATGTGGGATTAATTCATGAGTCATAAAAATAAGAAATGTTAACCTGGGGAATTATGATGTCCATCTGGCGTCATAAAGGAAAAGGCTACACAAAAACACCACCAGAACGAAAAAGAATAGTACGGATGGTTAAACATCTTTAAGCAGAGGGAAAACGTAATTACCAGTATATGCTGATTCAAATTAGAAGATTGTTCATTTGGCATAAAGATGTGCCCCCTTAAATTACACAGTTGTTCATGAGGGGTTTCATCTATGCATATATAAAGGGAGTATTGGATTGTTGAATTTGAACTGGTATAATATGAGTTCTAATTTCACATTGAACTTTAATTGTATGTTGCATACGATTGAGAGGGCTGCTATACTGTTTAAATGTGTCTATGCCTTCTTGTGAAAACCCCTATGAGTGCAATGGAATAAAGATATACACATTGGATGAGTACCGCATAAAATGGTGAGCCGCTGTGCTTATATGGTTTCCTTTATAGTTACATTACTTTTGTGAATGCGTCCTTATGCGCCATCCTCTTCGTTAGTGTGTTCTCTGATGTTTTGATATTTTCACCAGTATCCCCCCGCATGTTGCATTCTTCCTGTCTATGTTTTTTTCCCGTTTCTACATTTTTATAAGTATGTTAATTCATATCCCAGCTTCCTTACATATCAGTTCCCATGCCGCATAGTGCCTGTCGATGCGCCTTCGTGTTGTATCACCCCCATGAGTCTGTTTTATCAAGTTTTTGCACTTTTATGAGAGTATTTTTTCATGGCGCCCCTTCCCTAGATATGCGAGTTCATGTGGCCTAATTTCGCGAATGTTGTTTCACGTGGGGTAATTTTGCCAACATAGTTTCATGCGGCCTAATTCCGCGAATGTGGTTTCATGTGGGGTAATTTTGGCAACATAGTTTCATGTGGCCTAATCTTGCCAACGTAGTTTTAGGTGGCGTAATTTTTCTCGGACGTGGCTTCATGTGGTTTTTTTCCCAAAGTCTTCTCATGTGGATCAATTTTTTGCGGGGTTCCCTTCATGGGTTATACCGGTCGCACGCGCGGTGTTTTGTTTGGCTTTATTATATATATTTCTCTACTTAATTCTTTCATGAGGATACACTTCTTTGCGGCATTTCTTTGACGAAAATTCTTTGGAGATTTTTTTTATGATGACATTTTTGGTAGCACCTCTATGAAGATACCACTTCCCCTGGCATTTGTATGAATATGCCTTTTTCTGCTGTATTTTTATCACGATTCTTTTTGTGTAGTTTTTTCATCATGTTGCATCTCTTCTCCTGCATTGTTATGGTGTTCTCCCTCCGGATGATTGTGTTCTTGTGGTGTTAGTTCACTGTGATGTGTACTGTTTCGCCGCGGCATCGTGATTCCTTTTCCTTGTGTGGCATTTTTCTAACGATGCTTATATCTGGCATGTCATTATAATAATGCTTCTTTGTGTTACGTTTTCGAATACCTACATCGTTCCGGTTGCGTTAATATAAAGATGTTCGTGTGTGTGGCATTTTTTTCAGGATGATATTTACTGTTGCATTCTTATGAAGTTCTGTTCTTTTTATGATGCTGCATTGTGAGGTATCTTCTTTGTGGGGCATATTTTTTCCCAAAATTCATTTTACCGCGTTGTACTTTTAATATATCCTTTCGCTCGCCATTTCTATAGAGATTGCTTCCTCTGTCGTGTCACTATTAAGATTCTTGTTTGTGCTGCATTTCCTTTCTGCCGATAGTTTTCTATTTGGATGCCCCGATGAGGTTTCTCGTGCCACGTCATTGTGAGAATTTTCCTTTATGTGGCATATCTTTAACGAAGATTCCTCTTACCGCGTTATCTGGATGATATTCTTCTGTTTGACTGTTTTATAAAAATGCCTTTTTTTTTATCATGTTATTGCGATGGAATTTCTTCGCGAGGCATTCTTCTTATGAAGATATTTCTGTTCCGCGGCATTCCTTATGATCCTATTCTCT